CCAGCGCCCAGCGCCCAGCCCCAGCCCCAACCCCCAGCTGGGGTCCCAGGCCTGGATGCTGTGTCCCTGCAGAAGCTGCTCAAACTGCCCTCTCAGGCCTCTGCCCAGCTGACGGCATCCCTAAGGAGTCTGGACGGATGTCGGCTGAGGCCAGCGCTGGCACCACTTCCATGGCCTTCCATCACCTGTGGCCCGTGTGGCCCCACCCATGGGGGCTGGGAATGTGGGGTCCGGGTCGAGGGTGCCTGGGGAAGTTGGGGACCCACCTTCCAGCCCATCCTATCCTGGCTGCCTTTGGTGACTGGTGGTGATTGTGGTCCTGCTGGTCAGCCCTGGTTGTGCACGGGTCCGCCGGCCCGCGGGCCCCAGGCGAGCTGGCCCTGGGGCTGGAGATGGGCTCCCTGTGGCTGAGGCCAGGTGAGGAACTGAGCTCAGGAGGCAGGGGGGTGCCAGCTGCTGGGCCAACCCTGGGTATCACCCCAGCCCTGTTCTGTGGGGCCTGTGGGTAGCCCCTGTGCAGGCGGCCCTGTGGAGGCCTGGGGGCAGGCAGTGGCTGGTGGAGAGGGGCTGGGTCAGGGCTGAGGCTGGGAGGGGTGCTGGGCCTGAACCGTGGGGGTCTAGGTGCAGGAGAGCAGGCCAGGCGGGGACTGGTGCCAGAAGGAACCTGGGACAGTTGCCACCTGGGTCCCCACAGCCCACCAGAGGCCTTTCTGGTTTGCCTGAGTGGAGGTGGGCCCGGGGGACACAGGGGAGGGGGCTATCGGCCTGGGCCAGGGCAGACTGGGGTGTGGTGGGAGGTGCTAGGCTTGGGGTGCTGTCTCCCTCTGCCTATCCCCATGGCCACCCTGCCCCGCAGCCCCCCCTTGCCCTCCTGACTTCCCACCTGGGGGACCTGGGGTGGGGGGAAGCTGGGCCCCACCCCACAGCTGGGCACCCCTGCGGCACCGGGTGGGAGGACTCTTCTCCCACACGAGAGGTTGGGGGAGACCGGACCCCGCCCTGGAGCGTCTGGCTCTGGTGGCTCCCAGCTGGCTCGGGCTCTGCCCCAGGGGCGCTGGGTGCCAGGCAGCAGTAGCAGGGGTGGGGCCTGCCCTGGGCGCTCCCGTGGCCACACGTGGCCCATTCTTGGCCTTCTGTCTGGGTGTCGGCTTGGTGGGGCGGGAGGGGCCAGGTGCCTCCTTGCAGGCTGCTGTCTCCAGGTCCAGCGCTGTCACTGGCTGTGGGGACGGGCCGAGCGGGTGGGCCTGGGCCCGACTGGACGCCGCCCAGGACAGACTGTTGGCGGAGCTGGCTGCGTCCCCTGGGCCAGGCTGCCGAGAGGCCAGAGGGTGAGTGCCCGCAGCTTCGGCCCAGAAACGCCGCTGGCCTCACGGAGGTGGCCTCCTTGCTGGAGCCTTGCTGCCTCCTGCCCGGCAGCAGCCAGACCCGTCTATGCCTGTGCGGGGACACTGGCCACTCTGGAAGGAAGGACACCCCCCACCACTTCTGTAGTGAAATAGCCTTGTCAGTGGGAGCCACATCGGGCAGCACCAGCCACCCGGAAGTGCCGTCCAGTCAGAGGTGAGCCTTGGGCCAGCGCGACTGCCCTAGGGTCTTCCAGGGGCAGCCCCAGGTTGAGGGGGGCGCTGACTCCCCTGAGGCTGAGGCCCAGGGCACGCCCCATCTCAGCAGAGGAAGATGGAGAGAACCCCATCTCAGGTCCCCAGCCCACTGGCCGCAGTGCTGGCCGCCCTGGGCGGGACAGGCGCCAGGTGGGCTCTGGGGCTGGGGCTGGCGGTGCTGGCGTCCAGGAGAAGGTGGACGCTCAGCCTGGCGGCAGCCCCCTGCACCCAGGTGCGCTGGGCCCTCAGGCTGGATGGCCGGTGCCCGGAGGCTCCTGTGTTGCCACGTAGAGACCCTCTTGTCCTGGAGGCAGGGACTGGCCTGCGCCCGGCACCACGGCGGCAGGAGACCTGGGGCTGGGCACTGGTGCAGAAGGGGCGGGCGAGCTGGGGTCAGGGAGACGGCCCGCACCCCCGTCCAGGAGCCGCCCTTCGCGGCGATGGGCCTCCGGGAGCCCCCTGCCCCGCGTCACCCGCCCTGGGTCACCTTGGGCTGGGCCTGGCCCTGGGCCCCACCAGCCCCCGCCCCACCCTGCCCCACCCCACCCCACCCCACCCCTGCGAGTCTCCCCTTCTGGAGAGCCCCTCGGTGCTGGGCGGTGCTGGGCGGGGTGCTCGCTCGTGCCCAGCCCTTGGCTGCCTGCCCTGTTGTCCCCCCTTGCCCTGCCCCCCCCGGGGTGGCCAGAGAGCGGGGGGAGGGTATGGTGCTGCGGGGGGCCGAGTGCTGAGCCCTTTAAACTTGTCAGGGTCTCCAAGGCCCCTGTGCCCCTCGGCCTAGGTGGGGCTGGGCGGAAGCCGGCTCCTTTCTCCCTGACCTGGCGCCCGCGTCTGTCTGCCTTCCCGGCCCGCTTGGGGGCTCAGGCCCAGGGGTCAGCTGGGCGGGGGGCAGCCTCCGAGGACCCTGCCTGGCAGGGGCTGCTGTCTGCTCTGCTCTGGGGGGTCACTGCTGTGGCCCCATGTCCCCGAGACCGCTCGTGCCCGCTAGCCTGCTATCGGGAGGGCACGGTGCCAGCCCTTGGGCCCCTCCCAGAGCTGGCCCTGCCGGCCAGTGGCTCTGCATGTGGCCGGAGGGGCTGAGGTGCGGGTCATGCAGATGGCCGGGTCCAGCGGTCCTTCCCAGGCTGGCTACTGGCCTGGAGCTCACCGTTTTCACTGAATGTCTCTGGCGGTGTCTGACTCTTGGGTTTCCTGGCTGGACGCCGCCCCCTGGATCCTTCTGCAGTCTGTTCCTGTCCAGGCACTGGCACCTGCTGAGCTGGGCCGCCTGCCCCCTCCAGCCGGTCTGGTGACTGGGTCCCTGCCGTTAACTCAGGCCCTGCTGGCCCAGACCCCCCCCGCCCTGCCCCGCCCTGCCCCACCTCACCCTGCCCAGAGCTGCCAGGCCCTGCCCATACCCTGCCCAGAACTGCCTGGCCCTGCCCAGGCCCCGCCCTCCCGCACCTACCTGCCAGGTGTGCTGGCTCTTTGCTTTCAAACTCTGCCCCCACCCCCCTCCTGAGCGGTCAGCTCCCGAGCGGTCAGCTCCCAAACCCGGTGGGCCCTCCACCAGGTGGCCCCTGGTCCTGCGTGTGGCTTCCCCAGCCGCAGCCTGTGCAGCGAGTGTCGCTCCGGTAACGGCTGGCACCATCCCGTGGACGGGGTACCCTGGAGCCTTCCTTCCCTTGTGAAGTGACCAGGGCACCACACTGTCGATGATGTGGCTGCTTTTGCTCCGTGAGCTCCTCTGTCCCAAGCAGTTGTTGACATTTTGGGTTCACCTTAAAAATGCGAGACTGTTGTTGGCTCGTGCAGGCCTTCCCAGCCAAGACGACTCCCCCCAGAGGCCCTGAGCTGGTCACCCCTGGGCGCCCCAGCCTGGGCCTGGCCAAGGCTCCCTCCGTCTCCCGCTGGGGTGTCCAGCCGCCGCGAGGGGTCAGCGGGTGCCCTGGGCTCCCCACGGTGGCCCACAGCGCGTTCCCCCGCCACACGGGGGGCGGCCTCCCGGGGGCCTTCACAGGGCGGGGGGTGGGGGGGCTGCCGTGCGCCCTCACTCCGGCACAGCCCAGCTCTGCGTGGCAGCGCGGCCCGGGCGACCGCCCGAGTTCAGGACTTTCGCTGGCTTCTCCACGAGGGGCCCCCAGCCCTGCGCGTCGAGTTGGGAGCCCCGTGGAGAGAAGCCGGGAGCCGAGGGTCCCTGCTGACTTGGGGGCGGGGTTGCGAATTCTGGGGGAGCGAGGCTGGCCACGCTGCAGCGCCAGGACGTGGCCCCCCCAGGTCAGCCTGCGTGCGGGCGTGCCCGCCCCGCTTGTCTGGGTGCTCACACCGTGCTAAGTGTCACTTCTGGGGTGGGGGCCATGCCCGCAGGGCGCCCCGGTGGGCCTGGGCACCGCCTGTTACTCCGGGCATGGGAGCTGCCGGTCTCCCTGCGGCGACCTAGATGGCCACACGGGGGCGCCCGGACCTCATTTTTGCCGCCCAACCGCCGCGTGGGGAAGGGGACGCTGGAGTGGCCCAGCCTGGCCTTCTGCCGCTGCGCCTACTTGCTGCCCTTTCACCGGGGGTTGTAGGGGTCAGGACGGGATTTCGTTCATCCCACCCACACGTGGGGTCCTGACCTGAGTCCCCAGCACGGCCTGAATTCAGAGTGGGGCCCTAAAATAATGTCTCTGGGCAGATAGGAGTCCCGCTGGCTGGCGTCCTTGTCAGAAGACCGGAGGACACACAGAAGGACCAGCTGGGGATTGGGGAGCCCCATCTGGGATCTTGCTGGGCTTGGGGGGGTCAGCCACACCACACTGGCCTCCCCAGCTCGAGGAGCCTCTTCCCTGGGTCTTGGGACATGCCCAGCACGGCCTGACCCACGGCGCCTCTGGAGACAAACCCCGCGCAGCCCAACTCCTTCCACGTGAGCCCTCTCTGGCGGTGGCCCTGGCTGGCCCGTCTGCAGTGACCACAGCGATGTGGGGTTTCCATGCCGGAGAGCCCATCGCCTCCGTCAGGTCCTCAGCGCGCTTGCTGAGCTCCTGCCACGTGTGCTGCCTCTGCCAGGGCACCACGTGGCTCCTGGACTGACCCCTCGCAGGGCGGGGCAAGACCGCTGGACACGCTGCTTCCCTCCTTGGGGTCTTTTCCGCCCGTGGCCCTGCTCCTTGGGCTCTGCCAGAGCCCTTAGGTGCACCCCAAGGTTGCATCCTGGGACTGTCCAACTGGGCCAGTCCCATCCAGACTGCCCGCTCCCCTGGTCACTGCCAAGTCCTGACCCCAGGGTTGTGGAGGCCGGGGCGCCCACCCCTTGCCGCCCCGTCTGCTCATCCAGGCCCTGGCGCAGTGCTGCGTTGCGCAGAGTGGCCGCCAGGGGGCTCCCAGCCTGCTCTGCACCAAGGTGGGGCCGTGGCCCCTGCTGACCGCAACCCCACTGAGCCTGGCGGTCCCCGGGGTGAGCCTGTCTGGCGCCTGGAGCTCGACCTCTTGAGCCCCACACGGCGGCACGCTGAAGGGTGAGACCAAAGGGCGCAGGTCCTGCCCCGGCCCCATCCCTGGGCCCTCAGCCCTGCCCTCAGGTCTGGGAGGACACCCGGCAGGTGCGCGTTGCTGCCGCCTGCCACACGGGGGCAGCAGAGTCCAGGGAGCCTGGCTGAGTCCTGCTCAGGCAGGTGGCTGGAGGGTACCAGAGTAGACACCGCCCCGCCCCTGCCGCAGGCCCCGCCCCACCCCGCCCCTCACCCCATCTGCTCCCAGAGCTCTGCCTCTCAACCTCTGCCCCCACCCTGGCCCCTGCCCCAAATTCCACTATGGCCCCATCCCTGGGCTCTTAGCCCTGCCTCTGTCCCATCCTATCCCATCCTTGGCCCCTACCCCATCCCTGGACACAGCCCAGCCCCCTGCCCCCACGTCTGCGAGGACCCTCCCACTGTCGCTCCCCCTCCTGCCCTGCAGGCTGGGGACTGCGCCTGGCCACACGGGGGCAGCAGAGCCCAGGGAGCCTGGCTGAGTCCTGCTCAGAGCCCAGGAGGCTGGAGGGGACCAGGGTGGACTCTGCCAAGGGCGGGCCCTCAGACCCCGCCCTTGCTCCCCAGGATGGACACCGGCCCCAGCCCTGCCCCAGACCCCACCCTTGCTCTTGTCCCCAGGCCCCTGCCTCCACCCTGGCCCCTGGCCCCACCCTGGCCCCTGGCCCATCCCTGGGCCCTCAGCCCCCAGGTCCCCAAGTGTCCCCTGCAGGTGCCTGGTGCTGCGGGTGGCCACAAGGTGGCAGCAGAGTCTGGGGAGTGGGCGTGCCCATCCCTGGGCCCTCAGCCCCCAGGTCCCCAAGTGTCCCCTGCAGGTGCCTGGTGCTGCGGGTGGCCACAAGGTGGCAGCAGAGTCTGGGGAGTGGGCGTGCCCATCCCTGGGCCCTCAGCCCCGCCCCTGTCCCCAGGTCGGCAAGCACCCTCCTCTGCCCCCCACCTCACCCCAGGTGCAATGCTGCGCCTGGCCACACGGGGGCAGCAGAGCCCAGGGAGCCTGGCTCAGTCCTGCTCAGAGCGCAGGTGGCTGGAGGGGACCAGGGTGGACTCTCCCCAGGGCGGGCCCTCAGATGCCGCCCTTGCTCCCCAGTCCTGGGGCCCTCACAGCACTTCAGTCCAAGCCACCCTGACACTGTCCACCAGGTGGTGCTCACCCCCAGGCGTGGGCTGGCCCTGAGGAGACCTGGGGTGCGTGGGGCCTTCGCCAGACGGTGTTGGCCCAGGGGCAGGGAGTCTGTTCTGGCCCCGGGGGTCCCGTGGGGTCACATGGGCCACGTCCACGCTGATGTCTGAGGTCGGGGTGGCTGTGTGCAGCCCCATGCCTGCCACTCCCTCCGGGATGTGGCTCGGGCTGCTCGCCCCTGCCCAGGCCACCCTTTCGCCTCAGTCTGCTCCCCTGGGGACCCCAAAGGTGGGCCCTGCGAGGTCGGACAGGACTGGGGTGGCCCCTGACACATGGTGCCAGCCCCCACTAGGCCCGCAGGCCAGCCGGCTCATCCTCAACGGGGCGGGTCCCCCGGGTCGGCCGGCCGGGTGTGGGTGGGCTGCGTCTGCACGAGGGGTGCCCTCTGGGCCTGGCGCCCCAGTGCTGCCCCCACCACCCCCCTTACAGAGGTGGCCTTTCTCCCCTCCCCCTCCACACCCTGCCTGGGCTTCCCGTGCTGCCTGAGGGTCCTGCGCCTGGGGGTCTGCGCCACTGGCTGAGCACCAGTCTCCATTCTCCTGGGGCCTAAGCTCTGCTTGCGGATGCAGCACTGGGGTCCCCTGGTCTCCCTGCGGCTGCTACCAAGTCCCGCACAGAGGGGCCAATGGGGCTGGGAGTCAGGAGGGGGCACAGCTGGGGGCACCCCAAACCCAGGCCATCACCCCAGCTCTGGCCCAGGAAGGCTGGTCCTGATTGCTCCCCAAGAAAACATTTTGTAGTGACAGGTGACAGCAAGGGCTGGTCCTGCCAACAGCCCCTCTCTCTCTCCCTGTGGGTGGGGTGACACCCTCACCCCCTCTCCCTGTCTCCCTGCAGGTGGGGTGACACTCTTACTCCCCTTCTCTCCCTGTGGTCGGGTGACACTCTGATCCCCCTCTCTCCCTGTCTCCCTGCGGGTGGGGTGACACCCTCAGACCCTCTTTCTCCCTGTAGTGGGACAACACCCTCACCCCTTCTTTCTCACTGTGGGTGGGGACACCTGCATCCCCTTGTTGTCCCTGTGCTCATCTGGGTTGAGTCGGGGTCCCTCCGTCCTCCTGGCACCCCCCTGGCCTGGCCCCAGTCCCCCTTGCTGTGACATGCCTGGGTGACCATGTGTCTGGGGGCTCCCGCGGGACCCCTGTGTCCTGGCATGTGCTTTCCCCGCCGCCGTGTCTCCCCCAGTACCCCGAGGCGCCGAGCTTCCCCCTGCAGGCTGGGGGACAAAGCTGTCAAGTACAAAGGAAGGAGAAGACAGCCTTTACTGTGGAATGTCACAAGCAGAAGCACAGCCGCCGGGTCCCGGTCCCCAGGCCGAGTGGCCGCTCTGGGCTGGGCCCTGAGCTCCTGATGCACTTGCTAGTCAGGGCTAAGCTGGCCTTTGCTGTGAGTCCAGGAGAAGCCTGCTCAGTGCACAGCTGTGCCTGCAGACTGGGGGGCCTGTGCCCGTGTGAGGCCTGCCCGGGACCCCCGCGCATGGGGCTGGGTGAGGTGCCGAGTGGCCGGCAGGCAGTGGCGTGCGTGAGCGAGTGTGAGCAGGTTGTGTGCGAAGTGAACTGCATGTCCGCTGCGCCCCACGTTGCGGGCCGCTGTGGGCCGGAGGCTCTTTGGACCCCACAGGGGAGTCCACCGGCCAGTGCAGGCGAGTCTGCCACCCTGTGTGCCTCTGGCCTGTGTGTGTCTGTGGCTTCACAGCATGTCTGTGTGTCCAGGTGTGTGCCTGTGGGTGTCCTTGTGTGTATGTGGGTGTCAACATGTCTCTGTCTGAGTGTATCACTGTGTCCTATGTCCATGTGTCAGTGTATATCCCTGGGTCCGTGAAACTGTGTGTGTCCGTTTATCGTGTGCGACTGTGTGTGGACTTGTTTCCTTGTGTTCATGTGACTGTGTGTCCGTGTGTCTCTGTGTGTCCTTGTGTTCCAGCGTGATTGTGTGTGACTGTGTGTCTGTGTGTCCTGTGACTGTGTGACTGTGTCCGTGTGACTGTGTGTGTCTGTGTGTCCCACTGTCTGTGTGTCCCTGTGACCGTGTGACTGTGTCTGTGTGACTGTGTATGTCTGTGTGTCCCACTGTCTGTGTGTCCCT